TTGGGGCCTTCTTCCAACACACCACGACGCTGCAGTCGCGGTCCTGCACCTGTAGACAGCTGGTCGGCCAAGCGTAGGAGGACCGTACCTGGAAGACGCCGGCTGTCCACAACCAAGTACCACTTCTTTCAATGACAACACACAGCAAACCCTGGATTCTCTTCTATGAATTTGTAAGGGGTTCTACGCAGACAACGTTCGAAGAAGGTTGAAGTGAATCTTCACGGCTGGCCTCCAACCGGGATCCAACTGCCAGCGATGGCGATGAAGTCGAGGTAGAACCAGTCCTGGATTTTTGCGCTAGTCGGTCACCAAGTCTTTAGCGCATGATGCCCGTCAATACGGCTATGCGATACATGCTCTAAACTTCTAAAGTCCGAAGGCTGCAAACACCGATTGAAAGGAGTGTTCAGGGCTGGCCTCCAGCTAGGGTCCAACTCGACAGCGATGGCGTTGGAGTCGAAGTAGAAGCAAGTCCTGGGACGTTGGGCTATAATGGGCTACCAGGTCATTTGTGCGCCACGCATGTACAGGCGCTTCTCTTAGGTCTAAAGGCCGCAGACAACGTTGAAGGGAGAGTGACAGTGTTCAGGTCTGGCCTCCAACTGGGATCCAACTGGCCAGTGTTGGCGATGAAGCCGAAATAGAACCAAGTCCTGGAACGTTGCACTAGGTCAATCTTGCTTTGAGTTCTAAGTCTAAAGACCTGGCATCTTTACTTTTTTACTTTGGCTACACCTCGGAATCATAATTAGGAAAGCGCTGTGTAGTACTGGCCTGGAAAAGGAAAGCCCAGCTCAGGGCTAGCAAGTAGAAGCACGGGCCAATACCTGGAATGCGAATCCGAGCCCGATAAACACGCATGCTCAAACCACACCCACTTTCTCCTTCTCTATTGATAACTTTTTTCACGAAAGTCGCGTGATGGGTTCATCTCAATTGGATGAAAGCGCCGCCTACACGAACGCAACTCTCGAGACCTAAGAGAGGCGCCCTGTGACGGAAAAGCCCCGGTCACATGTCTTTCTGAAAGACATGCCACACCACCCCATAAAAAGGTAAAACATCCTACCATCCAGCGCGGAGCTTGGTCTCCAGCCAGGCTTTCTCAGGGCCGCCGAACTTGGACCATGTCACTTGGCCGGTGGGCTTTTTGGATGGCTGGGCAATGTTTGAGTTTGCCCTCTTGATCACGAAGGCCCGGGTCTTGAGCAGGCATTCCACAACCTCTGGGTTTGGCTTGATATGATCCCAACTTGGGAAAGTTGAAAAAACATGGGAAGACTCTGCTTGGGATGGTGGAAAAACATGGACATACTCTGACATACTCTGCTTGGGGTGGTGGAAAACATGGACATACTCTGACATACTCTGCTTGGGACGATGGAAAATCATGGACATACTGTGCTTGGGAAAGTTGAGAATCATGGAAATATTCTGCTTGAGAAAGTTGAGAATAATGGAAATACTCTTGAAATGCTCAAACGAGACACAGCGCCATTCTTGGACTTGATGGTGTATCCATGACGGCCAAGGTGGGCCTGGCCTTGTTTGGGGCGAGCCTCAATGGGCACTTGAAGGTTGTCCATGTCGTATGCGTGGAACTTGTTCAAGGCCTCACCGAACTCAAAGTTGCCCAACTCCGACTGCTTGTCCTCTAGCTTGACTGCTGCCATGGACTTTGCCTGGCGTCCCACGAACACCATGGCATCCACGAACCACCTTCAATAAGTATAAATTGTGCTTGGCAAAAGCTGAGGCCAAAAGCTTTAAAAGGCTAATACCTCTCCAAGCGACCGTTTGGGGCCCAACAACTGGAGGAGGTGTCTCCTGCAAAGCTTTGGCGACAACGCCCATGGTCCGCGGGCGCTTTGCAGCAGGAGTCACTGTGTTCTCATCACCCTCAACTCCAACCTCCATGTTCATCGTGCGAAAAGCCTTGTCCAAGCTTCCCTGAAAGAGGCGCTTGCGCGCACCAACCTTCTCATCCTTCGGGCAAGGCGGTTAAAACAAAGGTGCAAAAGAATGCGCATGAGAGTCATGAGAGGCCTAACCCCAACTTATCCCAATCATTTCATCGCCCAACCACAAACCCTTCTCCTCACCCGGCTCAGACTTCTGTCTGAAGATCCACCGTTTGAAGTGGCCAGCATCCGCAAGCTTGCTGTAGACAGAATCACCATGGGCGGTCAAGATGCCCCTGCACCACTCAGAGTACTGGTCCCACTCGCTCCCTTCCATCACAGCGTGCAGCTGCTCCTGCAAATCAAACTTGATGTCCAAGATGAGGTTCTCCAGCTTCCGTTCCCACGCTTCAGCCGCCATGGTTTGGCGAGTGATTTGTGACATTGCCTTGCCCATCCATGAATCTTTAACTTGAGAGTCCCGATGGTCAGACGACTCTGACACACAGCTTTCACTCCCGGATGAACACTCCCCCAGCCGCAGTGTTCTGGCCGTCAGCGAATCGCCCTGTGAGCTCTCTGAAGGGCTTGCGTTTTCAACGCCCTCCTCCTCAGCTTCTGGCGATGAAGGCCCTGCGGACGCGCGAGACTCAGAGCTGGGCTCGTCTTCAACTGCTGGCACCAAGGGCTCGGGCCCGGGCTCTGATTCTGGATCGGAGGCGGCTTCATCTGCAGGCGACTGATCAGCGTCTGAATCATCCACATGGCGACGACCAGGGCGAGGGCTCTCGCGCAGGAAGCTCTTCAACTGGCGGATGTTCTGATCATGTCCGCCAGTCTTGGAACTCCTCCATAGGCTACGAAGTGCGCCCGTGCACTTCTTTGCTTTGCAGCCTTCATAAGCAGCTAGCTTCATCCGCGATTCACCCTGAAGTGGACGAAATAGTTTGCGATTCAAGTTCTTGTCCAGCTCAAGCCATACATCGGTGAGAAAATATGCGCTCAAGACCTGGATTTATGGCAAGGGATTCAACATGCCGGGCAAGCTGTTATTTGTAAGGCTGCTGGTTACAATGTTGAGGTATCAATCAAGCCAAACCCAAACAGCCCCCTCTTCAATATGTAAAATTTTAAAACCTATAGGGTGTTAAACGTCCAAAAAACACAATTGTTGTGACGCGGGCCTTCGTGGGCGAGTAGGTCACCAAAGGCTTTAGCCACATGATGTTGGAGGACAGTTCCTTCGCAGTGGGAGTTTTGACAAACTTTGACTCGGGCAGAGCGACCAACCCCCCCTCCCTCATACGCGTCGCTGTCGATGGTCGCCAGCACTGTCGGTGGAACGCTGGCTTGCATGAGGGCCGCTAGCTCGACCTGATCTTAAAGACCAGGAGCCCACAAGTCATTTTGTTGTATCAGTCTTTTGATGCTAGGCTGGAGGCATCATGTTTGAGTTTAGTGTTCTTGAGATAGAATATGAATATCATAAATATCACCTGTATCATATATATATATACATCTATATCTATCTATCTACTATCTATCTACTATCTATCTACTATCTATCTATCTCCCTTTAACATCTTCAAAAGAACAACTTATGGTCTTTTTCGATCAAGAGGCCACATCAGCCTCCTTCCATGAGATTTTGCCTGGTCCTGGGCGATGGTCGTAGGCAAGTGACAAGTCTCAGCATGATTGCATGAAGACTGTGAAATACAGAAAGGACCATAAACCTTGAACAGCTATTTGGGCGAGGTTCTCACAGAGCGCCACGGCTTAGCACTTTGAGGTGAGCGCTCAACCACTGCCATGACTTCAACGAGTTTCGAAAAAGCGAGGGGCCCGAGACTGAACCAAGCTCTGGGAACACACATGTTATCCAACGGTGGCCACGAGCTGACCGAAATTGCCAATGCATGTTTGCTCATGTGTGTTTGCCACTTTGGCACGCTGTCAATTCGATTGGACATGAACACGAGCTTCTCATCCCGAAGAAGGGCACTTGTCGTTCACGCTCCACTCAACCTCAGGTGGGACCACTGAGTGAAGCTTTGCGCGTAACTGCAGATTGAATGCGGTGTTTCTTTTACAGAGATGTAGCTTGGAAACCAAACTGTTGACTCAACGCCGCGTTCAATTGCATGAATCCAAGCACGAGTTGAAGGGAAATCTTTGCAGAAGAGTTGGGACTTTTTTGGCGATCCCCCCTAACTGAAGACAACAATCTGACCTTCGTTCACCTTGACCTTCAACAGCTGTGGCCCTGGCTCAGTCGCTGGCTCTGGTAGATGGAGGTGAGCGTCGCAAGCGGAACCCGAATTTGAATGGAATACCCTGTAAGCATCTGT